TTGCACTCTTCCTGACTGAGGCAGATCGGTCGCTGGCCACTGGACGGCTGCTCACGGCAGCTCTTGGCAGCTCACACCAGCTGCCGGCTGCTCACGCTGGCTGCTGGCCACTCACGGTAGCTTTACAGCAGCCCACTGCAGCAGGGGCTGCAGCCTGCGCCGTCACCGGCGACTCACAGCAGCCCAGCTCCAGGTCGAGCTGTTGTTCACCATCTTAGCTGTAGAGGGCAGCGTCACCGGCCCTCTTATGTGGGATCCGAACCGGTGCCTGCTGCTCAGAGCTGGCGTCCCAAGCCAGCTCTTAACCAATGTGCCACTCGGCCGGCCCTGGTTTAGTTTTTCATTAACTACTTTTGCAGGCGACAAAAGATGAAAACACAAAACAGCAATTCGTTTCTTTATCTGTGTGATGTTTTGCTTGGTGTTTGTCACTTGTCCTGGAGCTGAGGCACGTAAAGGCAAGGACAATGTCCTCTGGTTCAGCTCAGCTCTCCTTGTACCCAGCCCTGTGCCTGGCACATCGTTGCGAAGTGAAAGTGAACTGTGACTTAACCATTAAATGAATGAATACATTATATTAAAACCTTCCAGAACAGGATAGAAGGAATAGAAAGTTCTAAACTACGGTCGGGTGTAGAGCCGTGCTCAGTGCACACCAGTTGAAGGAGCTGTTGAGTTTGCAGACATGCACGGAGATGGGGTTATCCCCGGTGTAAGATCCTGGCTTTTGAGGACCTCTCAAAGGAAGTCCCATTAACCGTGCACCAAATGCTTCTCTCAGAGCCCAGTGCTAAGGTCCCAGGGCATCGGGAAGTGACATTCATCAATGCGCGCTGAACTCTAAAGCCCTGTGTTCCAGGGAGAGACATATTTTTAGATCTTTGACGTCCAAATTCCAGGGGAAGAGCAAGTAACGCTTAGAGGAAAATTGGCTTTCTTCCTGCACCGAGCAAACCCGTCCTGGGGCGCACTTTTATTGGTCTGGCCGTTAAGTTGCTGGAACATTCCAAAGAAGGGTAAAGCTCTCAGTAGCAGAATGAAGGGCGTGGGGAGGGCAGAGGGAGGGACGCGGGAAAATTGGAGGAACTCTGGAGGTTGGATTCTTTCTCCTTAAATGGAAATGGTTTCAATTTTTTTTCCTGATTATAAAAATGTTTACTGTAAAAAATTCAGACACTCTAGAAAGTTATACATAAGTAAAATTGATTTAAATTCTTCCTTCACAACATAAGCTCTGTTGTCATTTGCGGGGTGGGAGGGGGGTGTTGTGCTTACACTTTTTCATGAAGCAGTGATACCCTGCACACATTTTTTTCTTAATGGTATTTTATTCATAATGTTTTAACTTTTTCTTTTTGAGGTAAAATTCACATAACATAAAACTCACCATTTTAAAGTGTACAATTCAGTGGCATCTAGTACATTCACAACGTTGCAGGACCACCACCACTATCTAGTTCCACAACATTTCCATCGCCCCCAAAAAAGAAACCCCAGACCCATTAAACAGTCAGTCCCCACTCCCCTCTTCCAGCCCCTGGCAACCACCCATCTGCTTTCTGTCTCTGTGGATTTGTCCATCCGGGACATTTCATAGAATTGCAGCCATAGAGTATGGGGAATTGTGTCTGGCTTATTCTTACTGTTTTGTACCTCGTGTCTTTCATTGAACAATATACGGTGAATATGTTAATATGGAAGATCTGTGTCCTCTTTTCAAAGGTTTCTATGGTATTCTGAGGTTCAGGGCTGCCGTTATTTATTTATCCAGCCTCTTTTGTTTGGACGTCCAGGCTGTTTGCTTCAGTGGACTCCAGACTTGGATTTGCAGAACTGGGCTTCCCACTGAAGGAACTAGAACTGGCATTTCCCTAACCTGCTTCTTGAGTTTATCAGCGGCAGACTATCTCCCCGAGGAACGGAAAACAGCCACCAGGCCGATAACCTGAAAGGGGCTATTTTGAACAAGTAAGGCATGCAGCACTAGAAAGTTCCTGTCTGAGTTGCACCATGAATGTCTGTCCAGCAGCTGTTTGGAAACAGACTTGGCTATGCAATCCCTTAGTGGGAACGGAAAGAACAGATAGAATTCACAGGTCGCTCTGGAATTTTCATGAAGGATGTTGACAGTCTGGGGTGAGCTGCCTCATTCTCAGAGGGATTTGACCCGCCGTTGTTTTATTTTCATTTGAGTGGCAATGGAGGGGAGGACGGGCTGGAGCTGCAGAGAATGTAGGTGCTGGGGACACAGGTGGGAACAAAACCGAGCCCCTAACGAGAGCACATTGTAGGGGGAGAAAAACAATAAATCCATGCATTGGTCAAACACAGCACTCCCACAGTGATCAGAGGTTTGGAGCTACAGAAAGGCAGGAGCCAGGCAGGTATCCTGGGCAAGAGGCATTGCCCGTGCAGAGGCCCTGCAGTGGACCAGGCTGATTGTGTTCCAGGGACCTGGGTGAGGCCCAGGCGCTGGACAAGAATGAGCAAGGGGGAGAGTGGTGGGAGGGAGGTCAGAGATGTGGAGGGGGTGGGGGCAGCTTGGGCCTGGGGTCTGACCTTTAGGCCAAGAACTTTGGCCTTTAACCTTTAACTCTGGTGGGCTAAGAAGCCATTGGAGAGTGATCTATTTACTTCTTCGATAAAAGTCAGTTCTTTCTCAGAACTCTAGGAAACTTTAGGACCTTGTTTGGCTATCAGCAGGACATGAAATATTTTTCAAAACATTTAATCCTTTAATCTGGGCCCCTCAGGGAAATCAGTTCTTTATCGCCCTCCACCATCTGTTGCTTTGGCTGGCACCACCATAAATAACTCGGAAGATTTGACTTCTAAGGCTCTTATCTCTTTTGTTCTCTCCAAATCCTGAGAAACTGACATTTGAACTTTCCTCCTGGAGAGCAGCGGCACATCTAAAATTGATCTATACACCCCCTGATAGGGGGGCCATTAGGAAGTCACTGGACCCAGCGGCGTCGGAGGCGGGTGAAAAGTAGTTCACTTCTGATCTCCAGGTTCCATTAAATTTCATAAATGAGGCTTGATGTAAAAACAGGCTAGGTGGAAAAACCAACTGTCCCCTCTAGATCATGCTTGGGCATTCCTCATCCGCCTCCTAAGGAGGCCTGGGCAGCTGTCACATTCGATTAGGATTAAAATGGTGGGGCCCTACCATGGGTCCAGTGCTGTTAATTCTGAAGAAAATGAAGTAAGAGCTAATGGTGTAGGATTATGTCTCCTGCTCGCAGCTTTGAAATTATTCACGATGGCACTTGTAATTAGGGGGACCAGGCCGACCAGGGGATGGTGAAAAGGCTGAACCAGGAGTTAGAAGTTCCACACTCCAGTCTCCCCTTTGTTTAGGGGAAGAGCCACCAATCTCATGAAGCCTTTCTTTCCTTATCTGCCAAACATGGGCTTTGTGTTCATTTTTATTTTCCACAAATTTAATGACCTATATGAGGGAGAAAAGATGAATTCTCTGGGTGATGCTGGAGTGGGGGCCAAGCGCTCCACCCTTCGCAAGCTGCCTCCCTCCCCACTTGCTTACTGCTTTCTTCCCCCTCTTGCCCCTGTGAGTCCTTGGGAAGTAGTTTGAAAAGCACCGGTCCTTGAAATTGCACCAATTCCAAGACGCGCGTGTTGGGACCTGTTCTTGATGACCTGACGCCCCCTACAGGGCGTTGGGAGCAGCACATGGAGTTTGCAGACGGCTATAGCTGTGCGGGAAGGATGTTGCCGCGTCCTTAACCTTCCTCTTGCCTTTTTTTTTTTTTTACTAACGTGGCGTAAGTGTTTTTCCTGCCATTAAAAATTCTTCATAAGTACGTCTACAGTTTTTAAAATTTTTAATTGTCAGAGACCCAGACTGGGTTGCCTGATGTGACTAACTCTCCCAACCTCCCCTCTAACACGCTTATTTTATTGGTCACGTGCCTGTATGTCCTATATGTTAAGTACTGTATCTCATTAACTGTTTATTGAAACATAATACCGAAAAGCACACAAAAAATCTTGTGCCCAACTCTATGAATCTGCACAAAGTGAACCAGCACCCAGATCAAGAAACAAAACAGGACCAGCCTCCAGAGACCCCCATGCTGCCCCTGGTCACCACACACTAAGCTTCTCACACCAGACATCAGCTGTGCCTCTTTTTGAACTAAAAATATAAATGGAACCAGACTATGTGTTCTCTTGTGAGCTGGCTGCTGCTGCTTTTTTCCCCCTCAATATTATGTTTGTGAGATTTATCCAAGTTGTGTGAATTTATCCATTCTATGTGTGATTTGTAAATTCTCAAAGCTCTATATAAACATATTGATTATAAGATACATATGTATATATGCATGTTTTTGTAGACACACACATATACCCTGTTTATGTATCTGTATATATAAAACACATATGATATACAGAGGGTGCCAAAAAAAGTATACACATTTTAAGAAAGGAAAACTGTATTAAAATTGTAATACTCAATATATACTGATAACAAAAGATGTATACAAGTCACATTTGACTTCTGCAATTACAAGAGGTGCTCAAAGCGGTTACCATCAGCGTCCAGACACTTCTGGTTACGGCGAACTACTGCTTGAGCAACGTTGACCAAAGTTTCCATTTGTATACCTTATTTTGGCACCCCGGTATATAAGTATGTACGTCTATCCCTATCTATCTATATCTATCATCTACCTACCTATTTATTCAGGATAAAAGCTTAACAGCTAAGCCGTTCTCCATATTCATTTATTCTTTTTGCTGCTGATGGGTTTACAGACATTTCAGTTGGGGGCTACTACAAAGAGGAGAAACATCTGCTAATTCTCAGAGCATCCCTGTGAGGCTAGTTCTGCTGTGATGACGCGAGGAAGCGGAGGTTCAGAGAGGCCCAAGGACTTGATCGCCGCGCACACCTCCAAGCAGCGCTGGGATCCTAACGTGGGCCCTGCTGGCTGCGGCCGCTGGGCACCGCTGATGCCGCCCTCTTCCCGCAGGGCAAGGAGGCTGGCGGCTCCCAGCAACCCCGAGCAGACCGCTGCCCGCCGCCCCCGCACTTGCTGCCCCCCGACGCCTGCCAGGCGGCGCGCTGCCAGGCCGACTCCGAGTGCCCGCGGCACCGGCGATGCTGTTATAACGGCTGTGTGTATGCCTGCCTGGAGGCCGTGCCGCCCCCGCCAGGTAGGTGCCCGGGGCCCTGGGGAGATGGGGGCGGGGTGGGGCACCCAGGTGAACTGTCCGGAGGTCCCCGCTGGGAGAAACGCGGCTGGGCTTATACCTGGATCACCTGGGCAGTCCACATGTGAAACAGAGCATAGCCGCTCATTGAGTAAGCATCCAGCTAGATGTACTGAGCGCCGCTGTCCTCAGAGAGCTACAGTCCAAGAAACGTGCATTCCAGGGAAAATGCTCCCTCCTGTGAGGATGGGTGGGATCTCTTTTAAAAAAAAATTCAGATTTCCTGCATTTCTTAAAAATACTAAACCGCATTTCCTGGGCCACTGTCCGCTGGAGGCTCAGGTGCCCCTAGATGGCAGCTGGGTCCTCCAGTTCTCCACAGACCCCACCAGGCCTCCTTCACTCATTGATGGCTGGCCCTGGGGGCATTAGAGATAGAGACCTGGGACCTTCCCAGTCCACATAGGGTGTGCCCAGAGAGGAAGGGGTATGCAAACTCCTGGGCTTAAATCCACAGGCTGGCGGGTCACCTCCTTAGCTCTCCCCAACCTGTAAAACTGAAATGAGAATGTGCCGCTCGCCGCGGGGTCTGAAATTCCAAAGCGCTTGGGGCCCCATCAGGTTAGGAGCAGGTAATGAATAACATGTCCGTTGAATCTTAATGAAAATCCATTTGGGAGAAAGAGTTCTCAGGGACTCATCTTTGAAGAGTAGGAGTTTCAGATCCCTGTTAGAAGGTTTGGGAGGGGAGGGAAGGGAGTCCGTGGGGAACACTGAGGGGACATGGGCAGCTACCTCTCCCTGGGTGGAGAAAAGGTGCCCTTAAGTGGGTAGGATGGAGGCAGTCAAGTTTCCTCCATTCTCAGTTCTGCGTGGGGCTGAGCCTTAGACAATACCAGCCTGTTTGGGCTGCACCTTTTGGCTGCGGGTTCCGTGGGCCTTAATTATTACCACAGGTGGCTCTGAGAAGGCAGCTCCAGCCCCACTTCCCAAGGCCGAAGCAAAAATGGCCACACTTTGTTTCCTTTGGGGTGAGGTCACAGCGATGACAAGAAACTCAGCACCCTTAATGACGCTCATAATTACAGTCTACCATGTGTTTGAGGACTCCCTCTTGTCCATGGACTGAGTGGGGTGCTCAGGGCCAGGCTCACTCTTACAGAGCCCTTTATATGACAAAATGTCGCCCCCCGCTGGTGGGAGAAGCACATGAAGGTGCTTCCTTCTAGGTGAGTAAGTCAAAAAAAGGTGCCTCTTCCTTTGGACTGCAACAGGGCACAGGGATTCTGGCCTCCCTTGCCACCTAGGCAGGTTGCTTTTGAGCAGTGCACGAGCTGTACAACCGTCCATGACATTTCCGGTGGCCTTCCCGTACTTCATCTCATGTAATGCTCACACAGTCCCCAGTGGTGGAGAGACTGTTGTCAACTAAGAGAAGCTGAGTTGATCGCCTAACGTCACACAGCAGGCAGAGCTCGAGTTTCATGCCAGTTTTCTGACTGTGACGTGTACACCGCCTTAGGCCCTGAGTGCAGGGATGTGGGGCTCCTGTTCTGGCACCTGGGCCCATAGATGGGGTCCCTCACTGCCTGGAATATTTTCCCCCTAGACACCCACACATCTCCTTCCTCGTCTCCTTCAGATCTTTGTCCAGCGATGATCACTTTCTCAGGGAAGATTTCTCTCTCTAAATGGCCATTCCTTAACCCTCTACCCTGCTTAACTTTTCTTTACAGCCCAACCTGGAATATTGTGTTTTATTTTATATTTTCATTGACTGTTCCCCCCACCTGAAGGTCAGTCTCATAAGGAGAGTTTGGTCTGTTCATTCATTGCTGTATCCCCACCATCTAAAATAGTCTCTGGGCACCTAAAAGTTATTCAATGATTCAAGGATTCATAAGATAATTAAACGACTAGCTTTCACTGGCCAGAAGGAAGGGCTGTTAGTCATAATAACAATAATAATAGTAATATTGAACACACGGTTTCTCACCCTTGGCACGCTTGGATAATTCTAATTGGGGTGGGGGTGGAGGAGCTGACCTGTGCATTGTAGGATGTTGAGCAGCATTCCTGGCCTCCACCCACTAGATGCTAGTAGTACCCCCATCCCATAGTATGACAACCAAAAATATCTCTAGACTTTGCTAAATGCTAGGACAAAATTGCATCGCATTGAGAACCATGATCTAACATGATCAGATGCCTTGAACTGCACCAGGACCTGTTCAAACTAACTTATACACTTCATTGCAATCCACACAGTCCCGGGGGTGGAGAGACTGCTATCAAAGGCAGATCTTGATATAAAGACTGGTGTTCAGGGAGTTTCTTTACCAGGTGATCCCAGCAAGTCCTAGTGAGGGAACAGAGAGGTGAGATCCCGGGCCTCCAGGCCTTTAGGGGTCTGCAAATTGATGGGAGGCCTTGACCATGTTTTAGTATTACACAACGTATAGAAAAATGTGTACATTTCCCTGATGCTCAGAAGCCTTTCACCAATGCAGAGGAGAAGACAAATAGTGAATATTAATACATTTCCTATTTGGTAAAAGATAGCATTGAAAACATTTTCTATCATGTGGTCCGAGGTGGTGGGAAGAAGGAGGAAAGAACCAGGAGATTGGAAACAGTGGTTGCGGAACCTCTCGTTCAGAAATTGCAAACTGCTGGTTTGTTCCTCGGTTGTTCCAATTGCCATGCTGTGAGTGACCATCTCATGCTCTTTTAAAGAAAAAGCTAACCAGCATTTTAACCTACACCGATCTATGGACTTTCAAAGGCACTAGACATCACGTGAACTTCTTTATTTTTGTCATATTTCCGATTCAGACTAAAGCAGAGATCATAAACAAATATAATCCCAGACCAGTATTATTTGATCTCCAAAGTGCTTACAATGTTTTCAATTAGCTGCCAACATTTAAACACCAGAGGATTTACATTTGTTAAAATCCAGGTTTATAGTTTAAAACAAAAAAAATCACCTCTGGAGACACTGGGAATGGCTGGCCAGAGCTCACCAGCAGCTGACCCATTGAGTCAGGAACATTCTCCAGTTTGCCCTACCTCTTTGTCCCTACCTGGCCTGCTTTTCTCCTTTATGTTACCTGTCTGCCCCCTTGAGGCATTTGGGATTTCAACCCTTATTTTGGGTTTTTGAAGACCTTCCAGTCTACCAAGTTACTCTTCTGGTTAAAAATATATTGGTTATAGAACAGGCTGTGCTGCTGCAACAAAAAGACCCATAACCCGGGGGCCCAAGTTATTAGGCATTTATTTCTCCTTCAGTTAATAGGCCAGAGGTAGACAGATGGTCTACAGAAGGCAGGTGGCTCTGCTCCACAGTCATCCTGGGACCCTGGTTCTCTCCATCTTGTTGCTCCGCATGATCAAAGTGGCTCCCAGACTGCAAAAGGAGGGAGAGAGAGAGGCAGGGGAGCAAACAAGCATCAATGCAAAGGCAGGACCAGAAGTTACAGCATCACTTCTGCTCACATCCCATTGGCCAGAATTCACTCACATGGCCACGCCTAGTTGCCAGGGAGGCTGGGAAATGTAGTCTCCAGCTTGGCCACCCAATTCCCCGCCAAAACTCAGAGTCCCATTGCTAAAAGGAAGGGGCAAATGTATTCTGGAGGACCACAGTTGTTTCTCCTCCAGGGAGCCTCTGTGTTTCAAGATGAAATGTAGGCTGCCCCACTCCCAGAGGCTGGGGTGTTTCTCAGCTGCATGAGGAGGACCTCAATTTAACCGGGTATTGTTTGGTTAGTTCTAGATTGGCTGGTCCAGCCGAAACCTCGATGGCTTGGTGGCAACGGCTGGCTCCTGGACGGCCCTGAGGAGGTGTTGCAAGGTACCTGCAGGATGAAGCCCTGTCCTGACATCAGAGCCAGGATCCCTCCTTCTCAGGCTGCTACCAGAACACTGATAACAGGGGCTGCCTCTGCTCCAGCAGCCTGCCCAACCCCAAATGCTCAGCCCTCTTGGACCCTCCCCCACTCCAACACAGAAGGGTGACGGTGGGGCTCGGCCAGGCTCTCAGCCTCCCCAGGACAGTATAGGCTTCGACTCTCCCTGGGAATGGGGTCTCCTTCCTGGTGAAGAATTGAGAAGGAGGGGGTTGGGGGTTGGCTTTCAGATCCCTAAAATCATAATAAGGTGTTCTCTGCTTCCTAATGCTGAGGCCTTCTCCAGGGTGGGTGGAGAGCAGTTTCTGACAAGAACCACACACAGGCCCAGGGCCTAGAGAACGGTAGGGGTTCAAGTGTGTACACTTGCATGTGTGAGGCTGTGCTTGTGATTTTGCATGTTTTTGGGTGTGTGACTGTGTCATCTGTTAGGGTATGCAGCTTTGCAAGCAACTGTGTGACCGTGTATGTCTGAATATTTGTGCATCCGTGTTCGCGTAAATGTGTGTGACTATATGTGTGAGTGTGTGTGCAGGGTTTGTGTACGTGTGAACATGCGTGGGTGGTGCATATGTGTATTAGAATTTGCGGGATGGAGAAAATGTGTATGTGTGAAGTGTTGAGCATATGTGTGTCAGGATTTTTGTGTGTGAACATGTGTGTACACAAGTGACTAAATGCGAGCATATGTGTTTCAGGGCATGTAGGCGAACATGTATGTATGTATGTCACTATGCATGTGAGGGCATGTTTGGGATCATGTACTTTGGATTGTTGTGTGTGCATGTGTGTTTGTGCATGTGCATATGTGTGCATGCACACACATGACTGTGAGTGAGACCCAAGGCATAGCCTGGATCCTGGGGAGCACAGATGAGAGGTGGCCCCTCTGGATGACGTGCATTCACTGCCCCCATGGAGGGGCTGCCCCTGAGACCCTGGCATGCGTCCCTCCCACAGCAGAGGCCTGCAGCACCACAGAAGATGGGGCGGAGCCACTCCTCTGTCCCTCAGGCTATGAGTGCCACATCCTGAACCCAGGTGACATCACTAAGGGCATCCCCAACCATGGGCAGTGCGTCAAGCAGCGCCAGCAGGCAGGTGAGTGTGGGTGCACAAGCCCTCAACCCCACTCTCTCTGTAATCCCGCACAGGGGAGACCGGTTGCAGAGAAAACCACTGGCCTCTGATCATGGCTGAGAGCATCTCTCTTTCACCTACTGCGCCTGCCCTGCCCCTCCTGTCAAATCTTCCACCCTTTCCCCCTTCGCCTGCATGTCACACAGGCCTTTGAGTCTGCAGACTGGCTGCAAACCCCAGCTCTGCCACCTCCTAGATGTCTGACCTTGGTGTCAAGTGCTTCAATCTCTGAGCCTCAGGTTTCTCATCTGTAAAATGGGGCCACTTGATGTTGTTATGGGGATTAATTTAATTCAGATATGTAAAGGTCTCAGAGCAGAGGCAAGCGATAATAGTTGCTCAGAAAACATCAGATGTTTTATATCCATCTATATATCCATTATTTGCATTGTCTGAGAACTCTAACTTCTAGCAGGACCATTCAATGTCACTTAATCAGTCTTTGTCTTTGGGGATGGAGACAATAAATAGATGAGTGAGGGGCACGAATAGCATCATTTTAGTTTGCATAATTTTTCCAAGGAAAGCAAGGACAACAGAGTAAGGACAGCAGGCGATACCTAAAACCTGCCTGTGCTTCATGCAAGGTGTAAGGTCGAGAGGTTTGGTGTGGATTTTGGTGTGTGGCAAGTGAAGAATCTGGAACTTCAGGGAGATGTCGGGTAGCCTTATCAAAGATGAGCTCATTGGAACTTTGAGTCCACACACTCCAGGGCTCGCATCCCCACTTCTGCATCTCTGAGTCCTAAGAGCTGAGGACAGACTGCACCCTCAGTCAAGATTAAGGATAATTACAGTGACCCTGTTGGCCAAAAGAATACATCAGGGTGCATGATCTACGAAAGCATTTTTTTTTTCCTGATGTGAGAATTTATTTCTCTGAGATGTGTCAAGAATGACGTACACATTAAATCAGTTACGTGTTTAGCATCATTATCATTGCAAATAATAAAATTATGAGACATCAGAACAGTCTTGAGAATCCTTATGTCTAGAATCCTGAGCTTTGAAAAAATTGCCTATAAAAGGATTCAAACTAACTAGGTATCTTTATGATTCCTCCTACATTCTACTTGCTATTTGGAATTACGAGTGGGTTCTCCAGCCAGATAGCCTGGGCTCCCGTGCCCACCTGGCCCCTCACTGCTGCGTGTCACAAATAGTAGAACTTTCCATGCCTCATTTTCCTTATCTGTAAAATGGACTTCTAACAGTTGAGCCATTATGCCACTTGCTTCACAAACACAAAACAGAATCTCTGCTATTTGTGTCACTGTCCATCTCTAGACACCAAATCATACCTTAGTGCAGCGGTTCTCAACCTGTGGGTCGCGACCCCTTCGGGGGTCGAACGACCCTTTCACAGGGGTCGCCTAAGACCATCAGAAAACAAAAAGATATTTACATGACGATTCATAACTGTAGCAAAATTACAGTTATAGAGTAGCCACGAAAATAATTTTATGGTTGGGGGTCACCACCACATGAGGAACTGTATTAAGGGGTCGCGGCATTAGGAAGGTTGAGAACCGCTGCCTTAGTGGATGGGATATGCAGTCTGTCAGATGCAAAACCCCAAGAGCAGACCAGCCTGTAGGAACATGCTGGGGTATGGAAGGAACAGCCTTTATCAAAAGAGGGCTGTGGGGTGAGTCAGGCGTCCTTTGGAATGGAATGCCATTTTTATCACTGTACAAGCCTGGAACTACTTTCTTTCTCGTCTCCTGATCTTCCTTATTCACTTACATGAGCCGGATAGAGATAAGCAAAGAGAGTAATTAAATGATGCCGGCTGTTGATTGAGTGCCTCAGAGATGCTGTCTTTAAATTTTGTCGGAAGCCCATAAAAGGAGACGTATATAACCAGAAGGCAGTGTCGCGTATGATTAAGAGGGCAGGCTCAGAACCACTGAAACAGGTTCAAAATTCCAGTGGCTTTCTTCCCTGGTGACCTTGGGCAGGTAACTAACATTTCTTAGCCTCAGTTTCTTCATCTGTAAAATGGAGCTGGTGATGGTCACAATAGTAATCACTTCATGGGGTAATTATGAGGCGTTAATGAGAGAAGTCCTGTAAGGTGTTTAGAGCAGTACTGGGCACACAGTAGGTCCTCAACAAATGTACGCAGCTATCATCTCTGTCTGATGGAAAAGGGAAGACTTGAGTTCAAGACCTTGCCCAGACAGCACACACAGCTAACAAGGCGCAGGGTGGGAATTCCACACTTGTCCTCCTGTTCTAAAGCCTGTGTGTGTACATGCGTGTGTGTGTGTGTGTGTATGTGTGTGTGGGTGTGTGTGTGTGTGTGTGTTCTTCCCCTCCCACAGGAATGATCTGAACCTGGCAGATGGAAATGTAAGTGAAGTTTTTAGCCTTGCCCCCAGGGGGGCTGTCACTTAGCAAAGATTGTTGGTACTTGGAGAAAGTTGGAAAGCATCCTGAATTCCAACAACCTTTCTTGGAGCAAGGTTCTCGGGGAAGAGCAGCGCACTCTTGACCCAGGGCAACTAAGGAACAAGGCTTTTATTCAAGTTTCTTTCTTTTAACTACATATTAGGTTGTCAGAAAAGTCATGACGTATTTTTTTCTATGTTTTTTGTTGCAAAAATGCGTCATGACTTTTCTGACAACCCAATATTTTAAATAATTTCAGACTAACAGAAAAGTGACAAGAATAGTGTCTTGGACTCTCTACCCTGATTCACCAGTTGTTCAAATAGTGTCACATTTGCTTTATCATTCTCTCCCTCTCCCCAACCCCAACTCTCTCTCCATATAAGCCTACATATGTGTTTTTCCAGACTATTTGAAAATAAGTTGCAGGTCTCATGCCCACAGCTAATATGCCAGTCTCCTCTGAGAGCCAGCTGCTAGAGGAGGCCAATGATCATTCAAGTTTTACAGGCCATCAGCCGGAAACCCTGTGTTGGAGGGGTTTGTGTCTTTCTCGAGAGGAAAATGAACATTGACACATGCAATAAGTCTTAGTATTTATTTATTTAATTTTAATTTTTTAGGTGAGCCATCCTGCCTCCTGTTGGCAGCACAGTGGCAGCTCAGCTCGGGCCGGGAATCGAGCCAGCGACCCTGTTGCTCAGAGCTCACACTCTTGAGTGAGCTCTTAACCAACTGAGCCACTCGGCCGGCCCCTAATCTTATTTTTTAGAGAGCAGGGTCAGGGAGAATTAGTGCATTTTCCTGAGTGGGTTCAAGGTCATTCAGAAGCTAAACAGTCCAGGTTCATGATATGGGAAATAGGACCCCGTGCTCCCCTTGGACAAGTGACTTCACCAGCTGTGTCCTGAGAAGAATAAAGTAAGGCCACAGAGCCTTGAGCAGGCATTAACTGGCCAAAATGCATCCTCAAGGAGAAGGGAGGAACAGGAATGTTTCAGGAAGCCTCCAGCCTGGAAAAAAACCCTAAAACTTGACTTACTGCTGATAAGCTCTCTACCTCCCAAAGACTGCTGATAAGCTAGCCACCCAAGGGTGTGGGTCAGTCAGATCCCTTGGGCTCTTTGCCTTATACCATAAATGTCAGTGCTTGTCCTTAAGACCCAGATGATTTTTAGGATGGTCACAGAACAAAAAGAAATAAAATGTCCAGATAGTGCATGGAGGTGATTTTTCCATTGAGATATACAATTGACATATAACATGATATGAGTTTCAGGTGCATAAATGTGATTTTTTGACATCACAGCCATCAGACAAGGCTCAAGCCCTGAGTGGGAGAGAAGTGAGCTAATGGATGCAGACATTGATTGCCAGGTGAAACATCTGTGGCCAGATTTCCACTCTCCCTCAGATGTTTTACTGCTGGGCTTGGGTGGGGGCTGACAATCAACAGAGGGAATTATGTAGTGGTGATGCTTAGCAATTTGAGACATATGAAATTGCCAAGAGTGGGCCACTTTTTACACACAAAAATAGCAATTTTGTATGGTTCCTTCTAATATTTGCATGTTTATTGGAAATGAAATTATTTCTTTTAATCCTCACAATAAGTTAAGATTACTAATTTTATGCCCATTTCCAAGTGAGAAAACTGAGACTCAGAGAGGATTAGTGAAGCAGTGAATGAAGATTCATTCTCAAGTTACTTTGTCATTTGCAATAATGACATTTGAGTCTCTTTTGAACGGACTTTTAAAAATACCGTTTACTCCCCATGTGAACATATTTTGTAATGACATTTGCTGGACGATATGCTGAAATTTTGCTGCCAGTTCATCTGTGAAGACAGTGGTTCCCAAACTTTTTGACCTCTGGACCCCTTTATACTCAAAAAATATTGAGGACCCCCACAGAGTTCTTCTTTGTGTGGCCATGGATATTTACCATATTAGAAACTAATGCTGAGACATTAAAAATATTTATATATTAATTCATTAAAGTAACAATGATAAATTCACTAGGTAGTAAACAGAAATAACATTTTTCTTTAAGATAACTGTATGTTCAAATGCAAAAAATAGTGAGAAGAGCAGCATGGTTTTACATTTGTACAATTCTAGTAAATGAATTCAGAAGGAGAACCAGATCCTCACATCTGCTTCTGCATTTGATTGGCTGTGATATCAACGTCTTGTAGCCTCTGGAAAATTCTACTGTACACGCTTGAGAGAATGCTAGTGAAAAACACAAATAATTCCTTAGTATTACTATGAAAATAATTTGACCCTTATAAACTTCCTGAAAGGCATTTTAATCCTTTGTTTTTCAGACGGGCGATTCCTACGACACACATTGTACAAAGAATATTCAGGTAAGAGAAGAAACCATCCTTTCTTTGCAGAGGGTCCTAAAAAAGACCATGAGCATTTCTTGGGTGAAGAAGAAAAATAAAATCCCATCAACTATTACGAGCGCTACAGTTTGAAGCTGCTAAACGGGGGAATGGCCATATTCTCCCCAGGTGCTTTTATGCCATCAGATGGCACTTTGGGGGTGACGTGGTGGGAGGCCAAGAAGCTTCTATGGTGAAAATCTCTCCTCCAGCTTGGGAAATCCTCCGCATGGCATCTGGCATGTCAGGAGCCGTTCCAAGATGCAGGCTGGGAAGGTCCTGGCAGGAGCAAGGCCTGGCACCAGAGCTGGGGGTGAGGGGAGTATCTAGACAGGTGACCAAGACAGGGACTGAGGCAGCAGCTCAGGGATGTCTCATAGGAGACAAACTAGGAACTAGATTGGGAAATAAAGCAAAAGACCTGTTGTCTGATGGTGGGCAAAGAAGGTATTAGTCAAAGAGCAGTTCACAACAAATATGGTTTCATGCTAAACATCTGAACCTGGGATTAGAGGTACTTAAGTCCCTCCCTCTTCAGTCTCCGAATTGGAAAATATGGCTGACACCATCATTCCATTCAATTATCCATTGGCCATTGATCTATCCATCCATCAACCCAATAATTCATTCAATCATGCATCCATCCATCCAATAACTCATTCAATCATGCATCCATCCATCCAATAACTCATTCAATCATGCACCCATTCACCCATCCCATAATTTATTCAATTATGCATCCATCCATCCATCCATCATATCTTGATTAAGCATTTATCAAGCATTCTGTACTTATCCTTTATTCTATTCTTCATTCTATACTGGAAGCTGGGGCTACATCTGTGAACATGGCAGACCCAGGCCCTGCTGTCAGGCAGCTAATATCCAGCAGGAAATTCAAACATTAATAAGCCCAAGTGGTTTTTAATAACAGCAAGTGTGCAAATCCTGAGGGTGGACGCAACTTGGCCATCACTGCAACTGGAATGTCTAGTAAGTGAGGGGGAAGGTGGCAGGAGATGAGGCCAGAAATGTGGGCAGGGCCAGACTCTCCAAGGGAGAGCCTGCAGGTGGGGACTGGGCGACCTGTGGGACAGGTCAGGGTGCCAGGCCAGGCCGAGGTATTTGGACTTAACTTGTCAGTGACTGGTGAGCCTTTGAGCAGGAATCGACACGCCCATCCCAACAGAGCCCTGGGTTTTTGTTTTGTTTTGTTTTCTTGCAGAGGGTGACTTCAAGAACGTGGCAGAACATGGAAAAGGACAACAGAGGCACCTTCAATAAAGCAAGGACAGCGAGTAAGTGGGAGGAGCAATGAACCAATGGCGGGGGTGGGGAGGGAATTTGGGCAGCCAGGTGTCCTAGGTAGCTTTCATCATGAAGTTGACCAGTGGGAGGGTGAAGAATGGGGCTTTATCTGCAGGTAGAATTTTAAACTCTCTTATAATTTCAAAGTGAACATATGAGAACTTTGTGTGTTATCAGAAGTGGAAGTTTCCTCCGGTCCTGAAGCCAAACCCTCGACTAGGTTATAATGTACCTTTCCATCTCCTTTCCATTCCTTTGCCCTAAAGCCTCCATGAACAGGCAGACAAATCCACCACTGTCCCATGAAGTCTGGCCCTCGGTCTCTCCCTACCTCAGTCACATGATATTATCAAGTGCCAGGTTTACGGTAGGTGTGTACCAGGCACTCAGTTGCTCAACAGGAGTTGCGCTGGGGGTAACGCAATGAATAGAGCAGATAGATTCCTAGTGTCATGGGGCTTATGCTTCCAACGTCCTTTCATAGGAGACGAAACAATTCAATAAGTAAGTCAGCAAGAAAGTGACAAGCTGCACTAAGTGAAGGAAACAGACAGGTGATGTGGTGCAGAGTAACCGGCGGGGACAGCGAGCTGCTTCACATGGGGGTCAGGGAAGGCCCGGCTGAGGAAGTGACATCTGAGCCGAGATCTAAGATGAGAAGGTGCCGCAGTGGGAAGACCTGGAGCACAGACACAGAAACACCCTGAGACAAGAAAGACCTTGGCTTAGAGGAGCCACAGCGGGGGCCACTGGGATGGGAAGAGAATGATGGCAGGGGAGGCTGGCACCAGAGGAGGTGATAGATGAGGCACAGACTCTGCTCTCAGGTGCTGTCCAAGGTGAGATGGAGGTCAGTCCAAAGGCCTGTGGGATCACAATGACGGGAGGGGTCTCGGTAGGTAAAGCCTGAATACCCATCCATGCCCCGCACAAGCTGAATGTCTACACATGGTAAACAAAAGCTCTTGAAAGCGGGTGATTTCCCCAGGATGTCCTTGAAAGGCAAACCTCAGGTGTCAGATTCCAGAATATTCCGGTGTAAGTCCTCCAGGAAAATCCAGAGCCAGTGGGGATTGATGCCAGTGTGTCTATTACCTGCTGATGACAGGCGCAGTCCTTGCAGTGGGTCGAACCTACCTGAGGACTGTGAACCTTAAATGTGGCAGTGCCAGGGGCCTGTGGAGAAGAACGCAACTGTGATAGGCAGCTTAGGATGGCTTTTAGGAGCCAGCCAGACCTGGGTTTAAATTCTTGCTCTACCACCATGTGACCCTAAGCAAATGACTTCAACTCTCCAGCCTCAGTTTCCTCATCTATAAAATGGGAATGATGGGAGGGCTATGTGAAGAACGGAATAAGATGATACCCGTAGAGACTGTAGCGAGTTAAGAATTGAGTCTTAGCAGAAACTGGCATCTTTCTGGTGTCTGGTGGGGGAGGAGGAAGGAGATGACACAGATTTGTGACCCCATGTTCTGCCCAAGCAGTGGCTCCTGTTCACGCCTTTTCTGCTTCCTTTTTAGCCAGCCTGAAAGGACATCTCCACTTGCTGCGAAGCCTTGGAAACAGTTGTGTAAAAATGATTTGACCCCCAGAGGATACGCCCAGCTCAGCAGACCATGACCTCAGAGATACTTA